AAATAGGACAGAACATTTAATTATCTAAGTACAGTACAATCATATACAATATGATCGACGTTCTCTTGACAAACTAATAAAAGTAAAACAGAACAACTAATGTTAAGTTTGCTGACACATCTCCTCCATCCAGAATTACTCTGTTATGGCGGCTGAGTTTCGGTAAATAAATAACAAAACCAGTTACTTTTAAACAAACTAATATTAATGTGATGCAGAGTTGTTGTTTTTTAATAATGTAGTTTATATCAATTAATGTTTCTACCGCCTTACCTTAAACTGTTGACGTTTATAACCTTTATTTATCCCTGATAGCTTCCATAGTCACGATATCCTCTACCATATTCACCAATAATTCCTCCATCATATTCTCCACGATATCTTCCACCATATCTTTTCCTTCCATTAAGTGAGTTCTGACCTTCAACTTCAGGAAGAATGAAACAGCCCAACAACAAGCAGACGACAAGAACTACAACAAGTGTCGTTTTCATACTTCACCGCAAATAACCCACCTTTTCATCATATAATAATAAAGTAAACAGACTGAGTAACTAAGATACTACAGTGATGAACACAAAGTGACAACAAATCCGGTTTTTACTTTAAGAGATGTGTCAGATGGATACAATTGTACTTTAAAACTAGGCAAAAATTCTTCATTTGTTTACAATCTTTAGTTCGTATCTACGTTTCTTTTATCACTTTAGCCACATATAAGAAGAAACTTCTGACAAGAGACTTAAATATATTCATCAACATAAATATTACTGACGTTTCTTAAACTAATCTTCTATGTGATAATGGAGCACGTGCAAGATTGAGTTTACGTAAAGTATCTAGTACAATAACTTTCGTAACAAATGTATAATAACTTACGTTTTGGTTGATGTTCTCTATATTTCCGACGAGAGGGAAGTTTTCAGCTCTGTACAAAATCGTTTCTTTTATATTTATAAGTAACAATGAGATCTGATTACGAAACGGTTTGGGTGGGATTAAGTAGTTCTCAAGGATACTTCTAACGTTAAACCAATAGACAATGCTTCCTGCATAAGTTAAATTGTAGAAACCTGTCTTCATTTCTATGTTCTCTGATTGGACAGTCAAGGATAGAAAGAGGTGTTCCCAAGTTCCTTGTAATAGGAAGTTAAATATTGCTAGCTGAGGATAGGCTAGAAGGATGCTGGTTCGATAAGGATTATCACTAAAGTAAGTTTCTGCTGATTATTAAACTCATGTTTCAAGACTGTTTACTAATAACAGTTGTTTGCTATTAAAATCTTAGTTGACTGCAACTTACGTTATTTACTGTATTATAAAATTTCTTGCTAATGGTTAATTCAGTCATTCATGTGTAAATACATATCACAAATTAAAACTGTCAAAGCTTGTTTCCAGTTCTTGGGGTTTCTCAGGATTATCGTGTTCGGTTCACTAGCATATAAATCTCTCTTATTCTGTCTGAGATAGATTTTGAAGTGTCCCTTGTTCGGTGGTCTGTCTTTACAGTTCAGTATCTGTTCTGCTACTTGTGTAAGGTTTACCGTTCTGTGGTTCACGTGCTTGTTGGTTCGTTTTGTCTCCTGGCTGTCGTTCGTCTAGACTCTAGACGTTTCTTTGCCACTCGAACTTTCGTACTGATACACAGTCATGGATTTATGTAACTATTTGATTTCATCATTAAACGGAAACAAGTTTTCTAATATCCATTCGGTTGTTAAAATATGGTTGAGTTTAACTCATAAATAGGCTGTGTTAATTTGTTTTTGACTTTATTTTTTATCATGAATGGTATATTTGTTTTGTTACGTAGGATACCATTAGGGCAAATTTATTTTTGGGTACATTATAAGTAATATAAAGGGTTAAATATTATTGAGCCAAAGATGTATTTTTTTTAATAAAAACAGAGAAACAAATTATTTTGATATGAATTAGATCCATTAATGATCCTACCTTGGTGGTAGACATAACATACCAGTGTCAAAGGTCAATATTAAACATGAAACAACTGTAGAAATGAATAACATTTAAACAGGTAGTATTTGTTTGTTTGTTTGAAATTAAACACAAAGCTACAAAATCATAGAGCACACGGTCA